GTCTTGTTCACGAAAGGTTCGAGGAACCTTAGTTTGACGGCGCCATTTTCCTTTGAACATGCGACGTCGATGATCCGACTTCACCTCGTACACCGACCACTGGGAAGACCGGCGGAGACCAACTACTTGATCATAGCGGTGTAGAAGCACCTGTAGTGCTTGATGGAAACGCTCCGTGGGGATGGATGTGAAGAAACCGGAAAGGTCCTGAGACACCAGGTGGATGTATTCGGTGGGCTCTGCCTGTGACAGCGCATCCCAAAGCTGCTGGACAAGCTCCTGAACCGAAAGCTGACCTGGTATGTCTGGAAAGGTGACTTTGGTGAGCTCAAATATGAGGGCGCCGAAGACCGTGAGGAAGGGTGCTGCCCACGTGCGAAAGAAAGAAATAATCGGTCTTGCTTTCTGCCAGTCCTTGGTCGGTTTGGGAAGGATGCGGGCCGTGGGCAGCGGCGCTTGGAGTCGAAGTCCCCACGCGTAGCGCTGTTGCAGGAGAGGAGGTATCGTAGTGACCACTTCTGAGCGAAAATATGCTGCAGACTCACGACACAGCGAAAAGACCTCTCCCGAGCAAACTGTCTTGTGCATCAGTATGGCAAACAACAAAGAACAAGTCACATGTGCACGAGAGGGAAAATGATCCGCTGGGATTACAACCCACGAGGACAGAGACACCATGGTACGCTGTGGTGATTCGGATGTCCAGTGAGCGTGGTCTTGAAGGTTGGAGCGATGTGCATCAATCAACTGAGTCCGAACAGGACGCAGATCAGTGAGGAGACTGGATCCATGTACATGCCAGCGGCGGGCTAGTTTGCGAAGCTGTGTGGTGAAACGCTGATGAAGCATGTCAACATCGCCAAAATACTGATCCTTCATGGACGCAGTCATGATGTCAATGTCGATGTCCGCATTGATGCGCGAGAACTCATCTACCATTACGACATGATCATGTGCACGGTGGCAGTCATCAATGTCTGAACAGCGACACGGGAAAGACATGTCAGGAGCCCACCTGCGTTGCCATGTGCGGCAGTTGTAGTTCCTGTCCCCCAAGGTAGCACTGCGAGTTTCCACCACACGGATCTTTGGAAGAAATAAGGAGGGAAACAAATCACGATGCGATGCAACCCAACGCTGCAACCATGTGCCAAGCTGAGCCTTCCAATTTGGTACATGTAGAGGTGGGAGAAGTAGTTGTGTCAAAGTGCTTGGTGACTGAAGTTGTCGTTTACGCATAACCTGGGCGAGGAGCTTCTGTGCCTTGGAACGAAAAGGCTCGTTGACGAAGACGGACAGTCGTAGCAAGTAGTAGAGCTGAGTGGGTGGAAAAGCCGCCGACAACAAATCGCGCATAGTCTGAAACGACGCACCTGTGTTGGATCCCAGTTGATAAAGAGTGGAGTAATGTGCTTGAATGTCATCCAACATTTCGGGTCGTAATTGCCGATGAAGATCCGGATGTAGTCGTCGCCGGAAGCGCTTGTGTAGCGAGAGTGAGGTAGGAGATGACAACGAATGACGCCGAAAGTCAACCAGATGCTCACGGAAGCCAATTTTCCGAAGGAGTCTGTGTACCCAGGGGGCATTCAAATGCGGACGTAGCAAGTATTGCCACTTGCTTTCCTGAACCCAAACCGAGGAAATGGGAAGTTTGATCTCAACCGGAATGGCACAGAAAAGCCAGTAGGTGTTGGATCGCTTCCAGTAGTGAAGTGCAGGTTCGAAGAAGGCGTGGTGTCCCCGAAGTAGTTGTAGAAATTTGCGACTGCGCGAGTGTTCTCGTCGAAGAACATCCTGATCTGTTGCTCCAACGTAGTAGGGACTGTGCCATGGAGAAAGTCTGATGTAGACGCATGGCGGTTGATGGTGACCTGGATCCTGAATGAAGTCATAGAGGTCCGGGAAGCGTGTCCGTAGTGATCGAAGGTGTCTTATATCCGCGAAAGTGGAGTGCATGATTTCACACAGCAGAGACGTCTTGTAGAAGTGAAGAACCTCGAAGAACGGCGGGATGTACCCATAGTCTTGAGACACGAGACGCTGCAAAAAACTGATCAACAGATAGGCAGTGCTCCGGCATCTATGAAGCTCATACCTGTTGGCCACAGTGTGGTAGGACCGCGACATGGAGTGTATCGGAATCTGAAGTGCGATCCGAACCACAACTAGCACTTCCAGGATGAGACCCAGCCGAGGTAGTCTCAGAATTGACTCATATTCATCTATTGGTATCGACGGTGGTGGAAGTCCAGGAAAGCAGTATTGCCAGCACGTAGAGAACATTGTCAACGAGTGCAGAAAAGTATCTAAGGAATGCCATTGTGCAACATCGTCCTAGATTCCACAGCGGCGAAGCTCAGCCAACATGGTGGAAATGCAACCAATGAAAACTACAATGTGGCGGCGACATAAATGCAAGAAGCAATGAGCACCAAGCAATTCACAACGCAAGCAAAGACAAGCACTTCATCAACAAGTGCAGAGCTAGAAGAGGACGGACAAGTTTTGAACCGTTCATCAATCATGACACAACTGCCACTCCGGGCTCATAAGTAAGCAAAGGTAACTGCTCACCCTGTGAGTAAGCGGGCAGTCACGATGAGGTGACACAACGCTTTGTCAGTGAGCTTGGTGATGTAGCCAGGCTCCAGTCCCCACAGAGCTGCCATCGCCGCAAACGTAGGTGCGTCTCCTTTTGGGGTGCGTTGGCGCGCCTGAAAGAGCTGGGTCGACATGGATTCCAAGGACTTGTTGCTGTTGAGGCGGGATGGGTGATTGGCCCACTTGATCAATGACGCCAATGTAGTGGTAGTGGGCGATTGCTTGAGATACAAGCGTGGCTGTTCACTGGTCCATGTGTAGTGCTTGATGACGTCTTCTGGCGTGCTGCGCATGGTGAGCAATTGTGACGCCGCCGGCTTGGAAGGCGGTGAAGAAAGCCCGTGAAGAGACTGGATGATCCGAGGTTGCACCGCGCCATCAAACGACTTGCCATCGAGGGCCGCTGCACTGACCGTAGGTAGGGAGCTGGTCGGTGTCGAAGATTGTGTGTGGTTGGCCGGTGGTGGTGTAACCGTAGGGGAAGACACCGTAGGGGAAGACGAAGCGCGTAGCGATGCCGAATACTGAGCCTGGAGCAACTCACGAGCTCGATTTAGATCATTGAACTTCTTGACCATGTCTTCTGCTTGGGTAGAGGGCGTGAGAGTCGCGTGGTGTTGCTGAAGAAACTGAAGCACCAGGTTGGCCAAATGGTCGTGAACCTTGATGCGCTGGTTGAAGTCGTCAAGGTTGAGCCCCAGCGAGTTGGCAAGGTCCTTTTCCAAAGTAAGCAGGTTGACCGACTGTGATCGTCGTAGTAGTTTGGAACAGGTACTCCAAAGCAGGGCCTCGGTGCGAGCGCGAAAGCCTTCCCACGTCACGAATCTGCCGTGAGCAAATGGTCGCAGTAGCCAGTTGGTGATGCCCCCGTGAATGACCTGTACCAGGCGAACGTCCCGGATGTCCATGCCAGACATGTCACGTAGATTGTTGTGCGGGGTGCTGGCAACCGTCATGGGCAGGCTAAAGGAGTAGAGCTGGTTGATGTCTAGCATGCCATCACCAGGTGTCCAGTCAACCGGTGGAGTAAGCCATGCTTTCTGAGGTCGAACTGGCAGCGCAGCTGGGTGTCCAGGCGATGGTGAAGCTTGGGGAGAAGTAACCGGTGGTGGCATCACGGGCGTCATGAACTTCGCTGGCGTGGGCTCCGGAGGAACCGGCATCATGTAGTTGACCGGTGAATGATGAAATTGCTGCGTAGGGTTTGGATTCGATTGATAATTGCCTGGCATCACTGGAAAGGTGTTGTTGGAGTTGTAGCCCGAATTGTGTTGCCAGGATACCAAGTTGTTCCAATCCATGCCCTCCGAGACCTGATTGTCATTGTGTTCACGTCGGCGTGCTTTGCGAGGCTGAGGGGAAGGACTCCGATCCCGTCTGCGCCGAGTTCTGGATCTGTCACGATCATCCCGACGCGACATGCCAAAACAACAACACGTTCGAAAATGATAAAGCTCATCCTTGAGGAAAGATACAAACGACAAGCCACAATCAACGGCAGCTCATGAAAGCAGCGGCAGCCAGCGTGGTGAAACGTAGCTATGAAGAGGTGGCTGTCTTCCCTTTAGTGAAACCTCGTTCCTGGTTAAATGTGAAATTCCGCTGATCTATGATAAGCACGTTGAGGTCAAATTTTCCGACAGAGCCGGCCCGGGGTCACACGATGGGTACACCCGAGGATTCCCCACGAATGGGGTGTACACACTTAAACTCCAGATGGAGGGTGCTAATCTTTCGAGTACAACTGGTAAGTCTCGGCTTGGATAAGGTTCTTCATGCATAAGTTTCGGCTCGCAATGCACTCGGCTTCCCTCTAGTGTCGAAAACGTTACCCGAAAGAACAAGAAGCACAAACAGCGCCACAACCAAGGGGGCCAAAAGGACATTCAGAATCACGGAAAGCAGGTACGCCGGATTGATCAGATCCGGTATCCCATGACTGAGGTAGCTTCGTTGAGTGCGGTCCCTCAGTCATGCCGCACTCCCCTGCGCTCAATTGTGGTGACAGGGTATTCTGCCACTCTGCACACACACGCACACACACACACACACACACCTTCTTTTTTTGGAATACCCTGACCAAGCGCTGAGTATGTTGTAAGGGTGAATGAAAGCCTTGTGGAAGAACAGATCTCACTGATGCATGGCTGGAACCAAGCAGAGACCGGTGGAATTGATGTACGTCCCTACAAACTCATATAGAAGGACACCAATGTCAACTACAAAAAGGCAACCTGGCTAGCACACAGCTGCAACTCATCAAGGAAACATGTCTCAAAACTGGGGAGATGTTTCAATGGTCGAGTTCATCTGTGTTCCTTTCTGAAAATGCGACCACAAAAGGTTGACAGCGGGGCCCCCATGCTCAAGGACGGGTTCCACATTGGGGCGGCGGCCGAGCAGCCGTCGTTCTTGGAGTACTGCCAGTACTGGCCTGGGTGTGAAATGTAGGCCCTTTGAAGGAACTGTCAGTGGATAACCCTCCTGGAGGGCGCCATCAAATTCATCGAAAGAAACCAGGGTATTATTGGATCGATTGACCCATAGGGCCAGTGTCCAAAAGAGATTCAAGCGAGTGCCTCTCCCATTCGCAAGGATAGTCATGCCCCTTTAGTAAGTTCGCAGCAATCCTCGCCCAGCCACAAGATCAATCTAGGCGGCACCTGATTTTCACAGGATGTCCAAGCCTATGAGAACAGTTGCAAACTGCCATCCTTCCCTGCTGCTGCTTCACATGTGGGTATCAGCAAGAACTGCATGTCTTTTCGGACAAGCTATCTGCTATGCAGGCCTTCTGAGTTCTAACCTCACGAAGGGGTGGATTATGTTTAGGTGCATGAGCACGGACCGCATTCTTCGCTCCCTCAAAGGATCCCCAACGCTCCACCTAGCCGACTTTCGCGAGGACCTGCCACGCATTGCACTGAGGTCAAAGCAACCCATCGACGAGTAGCACCTCGGGCCAGGCAGAACTTTACAACACGAGCTTCTCAAAGTGAGGGGAACCTCAAAGTTGGTGGAATATGTTGGCTAGCCACTTACGAAGCGCAGCCGGAAATCGTTGACCAAGCTCAAGGATGCTGCCAAGCTCCCTCCGCAAAAGATCAGGAGACTTGGCCACGGCTCTCTTTGGAAACAAGTTGCTGATTGATTCCCCGCACTGTCCCAACGATCTTCGTGGCATCCCTGCGCACTTGCCCACTTTAGGGACCCCTGTCCCATGGTGTGTGAGTCTTTGAGGGTGGGGAAACCAGAAGGAAAGCCACCTGATTTTTATGGTCTTCCTTTGTCTTTTCCTTTTTCTTTGCGGGGGAGGGGGGGGGCGGCCCAAGCCCAATGCGCTTGGGGAAGTCATCGCCCTTGGCTCCCCGGCCAGTCCCGACACCTCGAGATGCTGAGCTCCTGGTGGAGGCAAGGAGCAACGACCGGCCAATGTGTGAAGCAACTCATGAAGAAAAGGAAGACCTCTCAGGCCCGGAGCTCGCGGTGAATTTGGGCCTAAACAATCCCTGCGGTGCTCCAACATCATTCCCCCCCCACCCCGCCGCCCGGGACACCGGAAAACAACTTGTCAGAGATTGGCAATCATGAGAGGGTGGGAACCTTAGGGACCTGGTTCTTCAGCCCGGCTCGCTGTCTCCCTCTTCCTGCGGTGAGATCTGGGAATTTATATGTATATATTTATATATACATATTTTGTCAAACTATATACCCCTTTTTGTGCACCAGTCCCAGTTCAAGTCACACGTATAAGGGTTGTGGGAAAGCATCCTGCCATACTAAAGGCTTGAAAAAGCAAGCTAGCGTTTTCCGAGAAGCATGTGGCGGAGTGAAGTTTGCAGGATCTGTCCAGGGGGGGAGTTGTAACTAGCACTCAAACAGCAGAGAGCAACAAGCAGCACTCAAGCTAGCAGAGAAGGCCTTCAGCGAACAGGAACCGTTTTTTGAGCACTCTGGTCAGTAGTTCTAATCATTCTAATCAAGGCACATGCTTGCTGGACTTTGTTTGGCTCAAATTCAAGACGGGTCAAAAACGAGATTGGCGAGCTGCGACACAAACCACTTTGCTGTGTGCAAGAGTCCTTTGTGCCAGTGACTGGAGTAAGAAAGCTGTAAAACCGTTTCATTCCCAGCCTCTCTGCTTAGTTAGCTGTTCCGTGGAGCAAGTCATGGTGGATGGTCCAAGCACCAATGAAAACTGGGGCAGCTCTTGAATCTTGAGCCACACACATTTTGGCTGCATGCTTGGTGTTGTTTGGCTGTACCTTCGGGACTATGGAGGCCAGCATTCAGAAATGCGGACTAAACGGGCGAAGCGTTTGACGCCCGTCCGCCCCGACCCCCACCCTCCGGTTTGTGCATGAAGTTGCAAAGCGCCCTCGGGCAGCTCTCGCCTGAGAGCCCTCCGCGTACAAGCCGAAGTTGTAAAGCCTGGGCCCGTCAGGAGCTCGCGCAGCAGCCCTACAAAGCAGCCGAAGGTGTGAGGTTTGCTTCATGGATATGTCTTTATATCATGCCGCGCTCGGAACCAGTTCCCCACCTCGCGGATCCCCAGCCTTCTGCTGGCAGGCCACTTGTTGATTTTCATGCCCACCAAGCTCTTGTAGACGTGAACCTGGCCACTTGGAAACACGAACAGAAGTCCCAAAGTCAGCCTCGGAACAGTCCACCCACGCGTGCCCTTACCTCCTATTCACTCTTGCTCCTTCATTTAATTCGGGCTTGCGACTTTCGGCAGAACTGGAAGAACGCCAAATTGTTGGCGTATTTTTAGGTCCGTCTTTCGACACAATACGCAACACAAATCCCCATCCATGCCTGGCCGTGCTGCAAGCGCTGCGCAGCCTGACGCCAAGGCTGAAGACGCGGAAATCGAGATCCGGCCGAAGGGGCGGCATCTTTTGCGGGAACTGATTGATAAAACGCTGGTTTTACATGTTTGGAGGATGCAATCCGGATCACTTTCAGGTCGATTTATCCAACATTGTGAGTACATGTCAAGCTGACCCCTCAAAGCTTGGTGGTTTCACGCTGGCTCAGTCTTGAAGTTGTGCCCCAAAGAGTTCCTTGTTCTGACACATACCCACGCTTTGGAGATCATGATCTGTAGGATCCATCCGTCTCGCGATCAGGGCAAAGACCTCTGAAGGGACGAAGGCAAGGGCACCGAAGGTATAAGAATGACGGGATAACAGAGAAGGTGACCACAGTGCGGGGGAACTTCTTCCAAGGAACACAAGTCAAGGCACCTCCAAAAAAACAAAGCAGCCAAACGAACCAACGAAACAAAAGAGGCCAAAACACCACGCCACGACAAGGGTAAGGCAAAAAACATGGCCAAGAACCAAAGCAAAGCACAAACAACCAGTACAACTGAGACGAAACACGACAGTTCAAACCAAAACAAAACAATGCAAAAAGCTAATCCTTGAAGGGCCCACGATTCCAACCTCTTTACCCCGCCTCCACCGTGATCGCATTCGCATTGCCCTGAAGAGAAAGCTGCCGGAACCGAAACGGAAACCCCGGGCCCCTAAACAGCCTGAGCCGCTGAATGGGTTACCAAAGACAGTTTTGGAGTAAGGCGCTTCAGGCCACGCCATGGTCGACCAAGCACAACCAGGAACGATCCGAGAAGGCATGATTCGCTGCTCGTGGAGATGTTCACTGACAAGCGCACGGTGTCGAATAAAAATGTGCATTGATGAATTTTGATGCAAGCAATCTAGAAATAAGATTGCCGGTTTGCGTGTTGCTGGCCCTTTCGTGCATTCCCTGCGGCGTGAAGGTAAACCAACCATACCGTTTGGCCAAGCTACTTCTGAACCTGCCGTGCCTCCACATCAATTCGATGTGCGGCCAAGTCAGTCCAAAGTCAGTCAAAAGCCTCTGTGAACTACACACTTGGTGTGTCAGGGCTGCTACTTCGTGGTTTCCCGCCAGTTGCGGCCCAAGTAGCATTCCGGAAGTCGCAGTTGAAGCCACCGTCACCAATCCAGCACCTGAGAACCGCTGTTCCCATCATCTGCTTGAGCTCACTTGCCTCGTTGCGCCCTGTGTGTGTGTGTGTGTCTCACGGTTTATGCTATTGAAGCCACTTTTGAAGGACTCTCAAAGAGGACTGGAATTGCTGGTGTACCTAGCACCGGGTGGCAAAAGCATGGTGTAATCACCAGCAAAGCCATTTTCACTTGTCCTTACATTTCAGGAAAGAAAGAAAAATTGCGGGGAGTTTTCAGCCTGGGCCGGTCCCCCCAGCCCTCGGACTGCACCCCTTTTTTCGACCTGAGAGGGCCCTCCACGTAGCCAGTCTGGCGCTGGTGCCAAACGGAAGAAGCAGCCTGGTTTTGGGCTTTCCGTGTAATTAAGGGGTCCAGCTGACTTCATTTCGGTGGCAGCTTGTTGAAAGTGTTGAAAGATCATCCACCGGAGGCCCCGAAGAACATAAGCCTCTTGGACCAAGAGATAAAATTCCACAAATATCAAGACGACTCCAGTGGCATGACAAGCGTCTTAACCAGCCGGCGACCTTGGGAAGACTTGGTTGAGTTGGAAATATGAAAACACTCCTGGCTAGCCGCCTGCCTGTGTTTCAGTGGTGGGATGGGTTGCAACAAAGGAGCTTCAAAGCCCCACCGGACAACCTAGGATGGGATTGAATGCAATGGCTTTTGGGGTCTCCAAGTTGCCTCGACTTACAAGATAAGAGTTAAACTCCGATAACTCACTCAAGGCACCCGCCAAAGAAACAACAACACGATATCCCCCTCAGCCCCCGGAACCTGCTGGAACCCTGCCGAATCCTCCCCAAAGAACGCGGCTTTTCGCCTCGCCTAGCCCGGCCCGAAGAAGAGATACCACCAGCTGTTGAGGCTCACCGAGGTCAGCTCCGGCGCCTTCGTGCCCCTCGCCCCCCTCGTCACAACTAAACTGTAACCTACGGGGCTCCCGCCAATTTGGATGCTTGTTGGAAACCGCAACTCAAAGCCCATGAAAACCACGCATTGGGGAGGGGACTCCCCCTAACCTCCCACGCTTTGGTTGCACAAATCGAGGTTCCAGCATTAGGCAACGCTTCCCGGAATGCTTGGACACAGCCGAAAGGTGATTTCAATCATGGCTCCTTGTTGCTCTAGCTCCCGTACAGGCACCTAGTCCAAACAAAGAAAGAAACAGCAGCGGAAACATGCGCCGTGGTTGGTGTTGACCCTCCAAAAGTGCCAAAGCCAGGTGGATCGAAACAATCGTTCCTCACATATGCCTCATTGCGTTGATTGGCCCCGTTGCCTTCACGTCATTTCCTGTCTCCATTGACTTCGCTCAATTGCGCTCTGTTGGATTTTTCATGATCCATCCGTCTCATATTTCAGTCAAGAAACACCGCACTCATTTGTTCTTGGCCCGTTCATTTGCTTTTCTTTCCTTTCCTTCCCCTTCCCGCCCCTTGCTTTCCATGCCAACTCAACTCAACTCAATGAGAATATATATATACATATATATATATATACATATATATATATATATATATTGATTCCTGCCGTGCCCTTCCATTCCATTGCATTTCATGTCATTCCTTGCCATGCGGTGCCATTACATGCCATTCTCGTCCATTCCAATCCATGAATTCTTGAATTCTGGGCAAATTGCTCTACAATTTACAAACCGGGAATAAGCAATCCTCAAGAAAGGGACCTCCCTTTACTGTGGGTGATCTCCGTCAACTCTCAGGTGAGCTCTTTATAATATGCCCCAGCCAGCCATCCATCCATCCACTCACTCATTCACGTACTCCTTCCGTGCATACTCCCCCTCCATTCCTGGCATCATTTAGCCTGGCCTTGGATCCTTGCAAGTGCAGCGCCAATGGCAGCAAGCCACCTGGCGAAACCGAACGACTGCTGCGCAACTGGAGGCGCAATCCCCCACTTCGCAGCGCATTCGAGGGGGACAAAGATGAGGGGTGGCGTAGCAACCAGCTTTGGCAATCCCCTAACTGTTTTAACTTTCATGCACCTCGGCAACGAAAACCAACGGCAACGCATCTGGGGCTTCATGTTTCCTCAGTGACGTGGCACGGTTCATACACGAATTTCCCTTTTCGGCCAAATTTCACACCATGACGTGTGTGTGTGTGTGGCGATGTCTGCACACAAATCCGCAATCCAAGCACACCAATCTCATTCACTTGTCACCATCAAGAAACTGGTGCTCTCTGCGGCGCAGGACACATGCTTTGAAGAAACAACTCGTCAAACACGCTTTGTGAAGAGATTGGTGAGCCTTTTCGTGCCTAAACAATCAGGCGCCTTGACTTGCGACCTTGCGACAGTCCTGCCAATTGGCGACGGTGTCAATCAAAGCTTCTAACGGGGAATCCATGCCCCTCTTGACCTACCCAACCTGTTCAATGCCCCATTTGGGGTGCTGTTTTAAGGGCTTCGGGCCGTGCCTGCATCGTCCACCATCGCCTGCAGCCTGGCAAGCTCCGGAGCGTCCAGCCGCCCGCGGCCCATGCTGAGTCGCTCCGAAGCCTTCGGGCGAAGTGGCGACGCAGCCGAGCGTTTGGATGCGAGTCGCAAAATTCAGCTCGGAACCCCCAAAACTGGCGTGTTCACTGTCATAAAAACCATCCAACAAAAGGGTACCCTGAAAGCAAGACACACCTTGGAGGAGACGATTCCGGAGTGCACATTGGCTTAAAACGGTTTGGAAAGCTTTCAGGCGGGGGGTCGAAGGGCTGGTGAGGGGAGTGATGTGGTTTGGCCGGTGCGTTTGGGGTGTGCCAAACGGAACCTTGGTGAGCCCAATGCCCCTTGAGCAATGGCACTGAGCAGAATAGTCAGCCCGTGGCAAACAAAGCGGATATTGTCAAGATACATCTTGCTCTGTGAGTTGAAAGTACAAAGCACATCACACCACCTCAATGCGACCTTAGCTGGAAAATACAAAGAAGCGACGTGCTCCCTTAAGGAATCAACTAATTGGGCAGTGAGCTAACCAAAAACTCTGACATCTTTAGTCAAATCAAATTCCCAGTTGCACAATGATAGCATAGGAATGCACCAACCTCGCCTGCGCCAACAACGGCATGCTTCATGGCCTTTGGTTGAACAGCCACAGCAAACGGGAACTCAACAACCAGGCAAACTGTGTGAAAGACTCAGAACAACTTGTAGCTTCAAAGTTGCATCGCACTGATCGCATCGATTCAAAATGAACAAACTGCGGGAGCAGAGCCAACCAATAAAACAGGTGCGTATGGCCGGAAGACAAGTACACAGAGCGCTTCCAGCCTCATCCACTTCTAGCCGCTCGGTGCATGCAAAGGAGTTGACGCCCTGCCGGATCCTTGGCACAAACCACCAAAAATATTGTAATTGACAAGCACCTACAAGCTGCCGTGTAGAGTCTAGGGGTCCTATTGGCGGTTGGGTGTGCAATTCGTGATCGGTCCACCCGTTCATGCGTGCCCCTGAAGCGCTATCTCTCTCTCTCTCTCTTTCTCTGTCTCTCTCTCCGTCTATCTCTGTGCCTCTCTCGCTCTCTCTCTCTCTCTCTCTTTGTTTCTTGAATGTATAGATAATGTATACATAAACATTATACCTATATATATATATATATATATATTGGATTGTTGCGCAAGTTTTGACTATGCTAAGCACCTGTCAATATCACTCGTAGCATGAGATACATTGTCACGCACAAGGTGTCCAGCAGAGATCCATTCACCTAGGCAAAATCATCCAATACAAAATAGTCTCCCACATCTATTCTCCATTCTGTCCACATCCTCCAGCCCCATTTCTTGAATCGCCACAAACCCAAAATCGGCCAAGGCGCATTAGTCTGGGGCAAACCTTATTATTGACAAAGACCAGAAAACAGCAATCTGCAAGCA